GACATTAACGATATTATTATCTTTTTTTTTTTTAAATCATGTATCTACAGGGCACTAGAATGTAATAGCGCAATGCGTTTAAAAGTAATTCAGTTTATAAAGGTGAAATGTTAATATATGCCAGTGGAATCACGAGTCGCACAAAAGAAGATATTGAAACCAAAATCATTGAATATATAAATAAACCCAAAGATGGTCGACCTTGACGAGATCGTAATATGAAAATAATGCAAGGGGGGCAACAATGAAAATGGAAATTCAGCAGAGTTCTTCAACTTGTTTAGTATTAGCTTTTGGGTTCGTAGTTTTCGGTTCTCTTTGTATTATCAATTTAAGCATGAAGGTGGGATCCTATTTCATACCCATTGAAATAAGTAGTGTAGGTAACTACGAGCAGGGATATAGGAGAGACTTCCACCCCAGTCCCAGGCAGCACTTTTTAGATTTTTAATTGAGGTGGGGGGGGGGATATCTTGTTCTACTTTACTCGACCGTAAAATGGAGTGGGATGAGATTATTGAAACCATTACCGCAAGATTTACGAGGTTAAGCCGACATTCTCCCTTGATTTAAAACCAGAGCTCCACAACCGGTGTTGCTGGGCGTGCCGCGGCACAACCCCCCCCCCCCCACCCCCCCCAGAGGATGAAAAACGCGTAAAGACGATATAAAAATGTGTTTAAACAAAAGGGGAAAATTTCACTAATTAAAAGGAAGACAACGGTTTGAAGTGAAATGGCACAGGACAACTGCATGTTTAATGTTGTTGTTGTTGTTGTTTTTTGCGGCTGACGTAACAAGTCGCCCTCTCTGTCATTGAGTTCGTGTAGCTTGAAGCCACCAAAGTCAAAAATGTATTCCCGTCTCTTAGGCCGTTGAGCTCACCCGTCCACTTGTCGCGCCTGTGCTGTGAATGGGTTGGGTTTTTCTGGTTCCGTAAAATTTGTTTAAACAGATTCCAGGTTCTAGATGAATTCCTGCAATTGATGGGCACTCCATGCAGTTAAAGTTCACCCAACTTCCATTGGATGATTTATGGGCTTTAATCAAGGAAGACTATCATAGAATATCTAAAGAGATTATTTCAGTTCTGCTTCAGTTTTCAACTATATGTATTACTTATATTATATTATGTAAAAAAAACAAGTTTTTCCACTCAAGTTTCAATATAACAAAATGCTAGGCGGTCGTGCGCTTGAAAGACATTAAAGGAGAACGACCCGCTCTATCAGATATTGATGGTACATTAATTATAGGAGCTGCCGTGTTCTATCAGATATAACTGGTGAACTTCAAGTTGCTCTATCAGATATTGATGGTACATTAATTATAGGAGCTGCCGTGTTCTATCAGATATAACTGGTGAACTTCAAGTTGCTCTATCAGATATTGATGGTACAATACTTATAGGAGCTGCCATGTTCTATCAGATATAACTGGTGAACTTCAAGTTGCTCTATCAGGTATTGAGCCAAATATATAACAACGATGTCCAGAAAAACAAGCACAAACATTTCATTTGAGTTAGTCTTAATTTTCTTTTTTATATTTAGTTTGTAATTCTTTTCCAATACTTTTCTTATATTTCTGTTCTATAATTTCTGCTATATTTCTGCTCTATTGGTTCTCGCGCTTAAATAGTGAAACATGATTTTGTCTTATACCACTTTAATGGCCATAAAAAAATTGACTAGTTCATGTCAATTTCTCAACTACAAGAACTTTTTGAAACGTGTAAAATGTTGGTTTGTGTAAACAAAAGGAAATATGACGCTCCCCAATATTGTAATTGTGGTGTGCCGCTCAATTGCGTGATTGGTCACGCGGTGCACCTTGTGTGAAAACGGTTACGGAGTACTACGGAGCCCTGATTTGAAAGGAAGAAAATCATAGAAACACTGACTTCAAAATCTATTTATTGAATTATTTATTCGCATAATACATTACGGATTTTTTTTGTTTTAAATTTGACTTCACTACTTTAAAAAAAAAAAATCCTTTGTGTATAAATTGTTGTTCTTAAGCATAGGTTGATTTTAAAAAAAAGATAGCACCTTATTGATGGCCTCCTCGTGTTTAATTGTGAAAGCTTGTGCAACTAAGGAAGTGGTGATCCCCGGAGTGGGGAGGGGGGGGGTGATGGGGCTGGGATTGATACCAAATGGAAAATAACAAATTTGACTCAGCTCGATCGGGTTGGTTTCGAAACGGATAAACTATATACAAAAGCATGATGTCAGAAGGAAAGGCTGTCACAGCACAGGGTGCCACCAGAGCAGAGCTTCACAAGAGCAGTGTGTCATCAGAGCAGGGTGTCAATAGAGAAAGCAGGAGGCGGAGTGGGGTGGAGAAGGTCAGGGGTAGATCTGATGGGAGTGACACTTAGTTTACCGCACTTTGTTACACCAACCTCAATGATTTTTGTATTTAAAAAAACAAGGTAGAAGTGAAATTTTGTTAAAAAAGTAACCAGGTGTATTTATTTATATTTCACGCACCGAGCTTTGAAAAAAAAAAAAAGTGTATATGAGAAGGACATTTTGGGAGCTTTGCTATTACCACGCTATATTAGAGTTCACGTTATTGCGAGGTTACACTTTGTTCCAGGGCTTTGTTTTTAATTAATATGAAACTTTTGATCAAACTATATAATATTATATAAACGCAACAAATAATATATAGTCTCTGAGACTACCCTGGTATCTGTCACTTCCTTGTCAATCGTTGAAGAACTGGATGAAGAGCCAACTTTGTAAGAGTTTGAAAAAGCAATCTCACCTTGTTGAAGGCCCCACAACTGTTGTGGTTTATATATATCTATACCATAAAAGTAGTGCGATGTATAACATCGCAATCAACCACATGCACACAAAAAGACGCTAATGAATGGAACACCTCCATTTATCATAGAAACTTGACAACATTGAAACTGATACCGTCAAAATCCAAACAAAAATATAAAATTCCACAAAACTCACCGCAGGAGCCGAGCTATAGATAGAGGGTCATTAACATTTTTTTAAAAAATATTTTACTTAGGCCCTCGTAGAATTATTGAAAAGTAAAGCTAACACTTTCGTCCGCTAGTACACACACATATACTACAATCCTATACATAATTTTGTAAATGCCGAGTAGATATATTTAGCCAATGGACATGAGCTCAAGGCAAAATGAAGAATGTTTCGTCCCATGGGCAGAAACATCATAGCAGGTTCGATTTCATTGGGCTGGTAAACAGAAACATGATTTTGTTGTCTTTTTTTTTTTTTTTCATTAAAATTAATAAAAACGCGAGAATTTCGAAAACTTTACTTATCATTATCATCTTCAGAACTGGGTGAGTTTCATTTTCAGCACCAATAATAATAATTTAAATTCTTGAATTTAGTAAAGGCCGTAATGATATGCCAAAGACTCTGACTGAACGTATCCATGTGATAGATCCACTATTTAAAGCACTATAGTCTGTTGAAAACATACCATGATCAATGCCTCTATGATGAAGTTACATAAAACTCTGCTCATTTATTGGTAGCAGCTGGGACCTGCTGTTGTCGATAGGTCAAATAGATACATTCTATAAAACGACATTGAAAACAATAAAGCCATTGAAATATCCCTAAAGAAAATTGTGTTGTTTTATTTTATCTTACTTACCGGTACTTTAACACACACAAAAAAAGCTATCTCACTGAATGGGGAAGCAGTAATCTAAACTAACAAACATTGGCTTTGCCTTCACCATCAACTATGAGCACCGAGTGTTAGTAAACTGTCTATAGCTGTGCATCTCCTCAATTCGCTGAGGAGGATCCATAATTTTGCAAACCGTTTTTTTTATTAAACATTTTTCTGTGATTAAAAGCCATTTGTAGGTTGTCAACTTTAGAAGACATGAATTATTATTTTTATTTAAAGTTCTGTCATAAATATTACAAGCCATTTCAAACCCTAGGGTCTATCGGGAACTCCTTGATGGGCCACAGGCACCAGTGGTGAGGAAAGCTCTAAGGGTGATCAAGAATCCTTGATGTGCCCCTAGCACCAGTGGTGAGGAAAGTTCCAAGTACCAAAGTGTATTATTAGAAGTCAGTACTGTAATATAAGTCATAGTTCTTTGACTGAAGGGCACAAATGCCAAACTGTGCAGTTATATAGAATCTAAATTTTGTTTGCATGAATATAATGAAGAAGCATTTAAATTATTTCACATCACGAACTTTCTATGTGTTCAGTTTTCTTTTCTTCTTCTTATGCCTTTCCACCCTGTCTGGGACACAGGCCCTCCACAAGAATTTTCCATTCATCACGGTCCTGTGATTTCTTTTTCAGTTGCTTCCCTGTGTATCTCATATTTTGCGTGTCTGCCTCACTTCTCCATGTATTCTTTGGCTTTCCTCTCTTTCTTTGTCCCTGTGGGTTCTATGTTAGAGAATGTCTGGTGATGCTATCTGGGGGTTTTCGGAGAATGCCCTGTCCACCACCATCTTCCTTGTCATGTCTGGTAGGTCATTTCTAGTAGATCTTTGTTAGTGATAGTATTTGGCCATTTTTACAGGTTAACAGTTTCAACAACTGTTATTTGTGAATTGTCCAGAACAGCTGAAGGTTTAATTCAGTTTTTTTGTTTTTTTTTACAAATACAAGAATGCAGGTAAAAACAGACCCTGCTGTTTTCCAGGTTGTTACAGTTTACTCTTTGGAAACCTGATATTTGTTTTCATTAGGGAATTGTGCTCATTTTAATACTTTTCTTTCATTTTTAGGTCTAGGTACATTATAATTATATTATATACCCATATTATGTAAATTTAATGTATAATTATATGAATGCTTTTTGTGGTACTGATAAAGGTATTTGCAGAAAAGTTTGAAGTTGTTTCAGCTAGTCACATTTAAAGCTTAATAACATAAAATTGATTTATTTACACACGTATTTCTTGTAAATCAAAGTTATTAATTTAATATATATCATAGAAAGAGAAAAAACACATTCACTCTCTTGTTCACCCATCTGTGTTAACATCCTTCTCAAAACTTAAAACACCTCATCATTCATATCCAATCTATTTCATACAATTTCAACACATTTTTCTTTCTTTTCGGTACTTTGATTTACTTTTAATGTCCTCTTCATAAAATACAGTAGAAAAAATGTGTTTGCAAATGTATATGAAGGTGAACAATTATTACACAATTCAGTGATGCCATTAAATTTAATGAATACAATTTGTAGTAAAATTTAACAATCAACACGACTGGAAAGATTGGGTCAACTTAATTATTTGACAGCAATAGTAAAAAAAAAATTTCTTGCAAAAAAAGTAAACTCTGTTAAGAAAGGGAGGTAACTAGAATTTAACATCAATTTTTGAATTTTTCCAATTAAAATTAAAAGCTGTGGATAATATTAATGAAATTTAAAAAATCAACTATTGACTTGCATTTCCTTTTTATTTTAAAGCAATGCACACATTTTTTTAGGGAATTGTTTAATTAAGTTTCATCAAATGCTTTATGATAAATTGACTCAAAATTCTGCCCAATACAATTTTTCAAGCTTTAAAAAAATTACAGCAACAAGCTTGATCAACATATTTTTCCAGTGAAGACGTGGTCTCCGCTAGAAAAAAACTATCAATCTATACTTACAGTATCATCAATAAAACTACTGTATAAGTATAATTATGATGGTATAATGGGCAACTTTTTTAAATTTATAAAAACGAGAAAAATGAGTTGATGATTTCAAGTCATGGCAGCAAGTTAGATAAAACCTGTTGTGTTGAGGCCAAACAAAACTGTGTTGACAAGCAGGCCAAGAAACCCAATGTATCCGAAGGCACCACGGTTTCTCTTGGCTGGATCTGAAAAGATTTAAAGCAATCTATGATGATTTCTACACAAGCAAAATCCAGACTGTTGTAAAGGAGGAGCAGCTAAACACATGAAAACATTACAGCTGGGGAAATTTATTACCAAATGTATAGTAGCCATGGGCATACACAATCCTGCTGAGAAGCCAGACAACTCCAAAAGCAGCACTCAATCTCTGTAGATTAGAACAATTATATATATATATATTTCTCTATTCATTTATAGAGTTATAAGACTAAATTAAATACAATTGAAATTATTACATCATTAAAAAAGGTAGTTTTTTTTAAAGCAAAATTAGGATAAATAAAAATAATAAACATATTAAAAGTGATCACACCAGAATTAATTTACGAGGATCTTAAAAAAAAATGCCTTTAAGAAACCTAAAAAATAACATTGTACCACAGTTTTAATTAATGTTGAATGAAAAATTATCTTATGTCATTTTTAGAGTCTAACACTGATGAATTACACATTTAAGCAAACTTACTGGCAACTGCAACCCTCCAAGCAAAAGAAATCCAAGAAACTGAGGATAAACCTCGAGTCTAAATTTAAAAAAACAAAAAAAAAAACAATTATCAAAAACCAAAAATGGAAACAAATATGTGAAGAAAAAGAAAATTATTACAAGTCATTGAGTCAAGGAAAAATGTCTTGAAATAACATTCAATTTTAAATATGCTTGTAATTTCTATACATACGTGTTTTGGTGAGCCCGCTGAATGCAGTTGAACTCATGGCTTGTTTCGCTATACAACTTGGGGTACTGTGAAAGATAGAAAATAATTAATTGAAAATAAACATGTTTGACCACTTCTGTATCTGTGTATGGCACCCAGTTGGAATCTTGATATGCTGTTGATGTAGGTTGTGTTGGATCCCAGGTGTTGATTTCACATACCATGTAACATACAATGAACGCCTATGTACAAAATCTCATTTGAATTGTATACAACAGTAACAGAAATTTCACCCACGTATTTAGCAATGAAAGTTATTGGAACTTTAATCAGCTTTTTTTTTTTTTTTTTTTTTTTTTTTTTTTTTTTTTTTTTTTTTTTTTTTTTTTTATTTTTTTTTTTTTATTTATATTTTTTTTTTTTATTTTTTTTTATTTTTTATTTTTTTTTTTTTTTTTTTTTTTTTTTTTTTTTTTTTTTGTTTTTTTTTTTTTTTTTTTTTTTTTTTCTTTTTTTTTTTTTTTTGAGGTAACGCTTTAGCCATAAAATCACGTAACTAACAAAAAATGAATACAATAGCTATGGTCACTAAGACTTCAGGTCTATAGTAATTATTTTAGTAAATGTGGACATTGCAGTAACTAGATGGCCCATTGTATGGCTAAAACCAAAAAGCTTGTGTCTTTTATAGGCTTAAAATAATATTTAAAAAAAGAGTGTTTTGACAACAAACAATAGATGCTGGCAACCCAAAGACCCTCCTCCAAATGTTGATATCACATTTGAACTTACCTTTTATAATTACGATAAATTTGATGTTCCGCCTCAGAATTGATGCCTGATTATTATAATAGGGTGTCTAAAAGAACAAATGTAACTTAAATTGGTAGGATGGTTAATCACTTCAGTGTCACTTTGAGGTAAAAGAAAAGAGAAAGTATGGTAGGGTTTATTCATATACCAATAATGAGGAAATTTTTAAAAATATTTTAGAACAAATGCCATACATTTCTAGCATTACACATATTATGCCAGCTGGGCTCATTAGGCTCAGTGGATAAGAAAGGAAATAACTAGGGCCTAGCCTACCATTTCCCAACCTTTTTTGCTTCACACCACATGAGTGCATAAATAGATTTAAAGCTGCCCCCCACCCACCAGTCTGTGGAAAAGATTAAAAAAAAAGGTAATCCCCATGACGTTCATCGACAATGAATATCAATTTGGAGACTTTCAAGAATTTTAAAGTAGAATTCAATTTACAATTAAGTGATGTATACAAATGATTTTCAATTGTATTGCAAACAGATAAGCAAAAACAGTGCTAAACTTTTTAAAAGTGTCTAGGGAAACATTGCACCTCCCCCAGGTCTTTTGCCCCGCTTAGCCTATGCTGATACATTATATTTTGTTTTTAACCCTCTTCAGACAGCTGGGCAGATCTATAGGTCCATAGTCGAATGGCGAAAAAGAAGAATGGTGATGCATATTAAAGCCTCAAGATAGACTGGCTGGTCTTTGTAGATCTACCAGCTAATAAGACTACTTCTTCTTTTCTTGCTCATCTGGCCATTTTTAAGACAGCTTCCTATGTGAGTTTACGGTGTTCTGTTATTTTACATCAATTTTTATTTACCTTGCTTCCCCAAATATACTTAAAAAATATGAGACCTTGAAATATGACAAGAGGCATTAACGACCCAAGTGGAATATTTTTTGCAGTTTTTCACTTTCATATTGCATCTCATTTAAATATTTTTTTAGGAATGATTTAGGCTTTAACACTCAGAAAATACAATGAAATTCTGCAAGCAATTAATGTTGTTATAAAGTTTACATAAAATTGCATCCATAATTTATCGAAATCAGGATATCTAATTTTCATAAATGTTGAAATTTCACTTTGATTCATTAAGATCGTATTAGTTAATTCAATTCTCTACAAAAATATTATTATTATTAAAGTGTTACTGAGTGTTCTTATATAGCGCGGTACCCCAGCCTTGGGCTGGGCTCACAGTGCTTCACATAAAAATATTAGTAAACATATTGACATTAAAAAGTTACATACAATTATTCAACTAAAAACAGCTGTCTTTAATTATATTTATATTATTAAAAAAAATATTATTCACCCTGCCCAACCCAGAACTATTTACATGTCAAGCCATAGACGGCACCCAGCAGCATCATTTATCGGTAAGAGGGGAGTGGGAATCATTCGGGTAGTAGAGTTTGAAAATATATATATATATATACAGAGAGTTTGCTAAACCTGGTTGTGGATGCCACTACGTCTTTTCTGTGTTTACGTGTGGGAGTCACATCCCTTTGTTTATTTTTAGAGAATTATTTTGTCATGGATTAGTATTCATACACTAATGACATGTTTTGTATTAAAATTTTAATTGGTTGATTAATTATAATTTTAAATTATCATTGGTTGGCTTCATATTTTATTCGTGCCGCCGCATTTGCTAGATTTTGGCCTCACGTCAGGTCTTGTGCTCTTTTCATTTTGTGGATATTATTTTCGGTGGAACCTGAAATAAAGTGTGTAAAAGTGTATTTCATGAAACTGTAAGTTGGGTTTTCATTATTTCTTTATTTTATAATTTATTTTTGGCCATTTTTTAATTTTTTTTTGTTCATTTTCCTACTTTTCTTTGTGTAAATTCCATGTGTTTTACTTGCAGCTTTAGGGGTAGTTTTAGGGTTTAGGTTAGGTTTAGGGGTAGATTTAGGGTTCAGGTTAGATTTACTAACGGTTTAGGGATCGAGTTAGGGAGTTCAGGATAGGGTCAAAAGCCTGGTTCCAAGAGGGTCAAAAGCCTGGTTTCGATAGGGTCAAAACCCTGCTTAGTTTAGGGTTCAGGTTAGGTTTAGGGATAGATTTTCAAAAATGCTATTAATTTTTTTCTTTCCTTTCATTTTTTTTGGTTTGAATTAACACATTTTTTTCCCTCCCCTTCCTATATAATAACACATGTTTTGCACTACTTTTTGGCTGCCATCTTGGATGACACTTCACGTGACTTCATGGATCGCGTCAACCAAGATGACTGACATTAAGAAAATCGTGGCTTCCTCTCTCAAAATTTACAGAGTTTTATATTTGAATTAGTCAATTAGTATATTAATATTAGTATTATTTTCCTTTCTATAACTTTTTTTTTTGCAAGTGAAAGTTTGTGAAATTGTCTCTGTCTTCTTGGCACAGACAGGTAAAAATGGCTCTGTCTCAAAGGGTTAATCTGTAACTTTTTAGGTCAGAGTAGCAGACTTTTAATATAATATGACTATATGATATATGATATATGAATCTGTCATAGTGATGTCTATGTATTATTAGATTATAAAAATATAATTTTAATTTGTATGGCAATATAAAAATATAGGGCAATAAATATATTATAATTATAAGCTTATAGACATGTGAGTCTATCAGGCTCAATGAATCTAATACTATTGATATCGAAAAAAGTTCCATCACACAACAAAGTTACAATTCTTGACACCGGCCGGGGCCGGGGGGATGATTCGGCAAAAAATAACAAATGGAATTCTACTCGCCATAAAATCACTCTTGTAGTTGTACTGACCTGCACATCATACTTTTTCCTGGCTTGCATCACTCGAAACCCTAAATAATTTAGAACACCCCAGCTTCCAGCAACAACAAATGCTACATAGCCGTAGTCTCCTGGAAGTTGATAGCCCGACATGTTTACAGCAGCTTTGTATAGCGTTGTGTGACCTTCGACTCAGGGCTGCCACTCACTTTTTTTAAATTTCCCAAGATTCGGTCATGAAATTTCCCAAGATTTCCCAAGATCATAAAGGATATGGGAGTTTTTTTTTAAAGGTACCTTTATGTAATAATAGATTGAATTAATGCCCCTGAAACATATGGTACAATAATTGACTGAAATTTATTGAAAAAGACATTTTAAAAAAATGTTTATCCCATAAAAGAAATAAACATTTTTTGTTTTAAAAAAATTATTTACATTATTTTATTATCCAAATTATCAATACCCACTGGAGTTAGGCTACTAAATGTTACCTCCAAATTCTCTGGTAAAAATAACATCTACAATCCACGTGTAATAGAAGTCACTTGGAAACATAGCTCACAAGGCTAAACAACACACAATTCCTTTAACAAAGGCAAAAGGCTCTTCATACAAAAATAAAATGTGTTTTCTTATTGCAAGTCTGTTGATTAGTAATGGGGTTTGCAAAGCTATTAAGCAAAAGGTGTTAATAACAATTGTAGCTAAAATGGATTGACAGTATTATGAAAGCAATAAGTAATTTTATGTTTTATTTTAAATTTACATTATAATGATTTTTTTTTTCAAACGAAATACTGTTTAAAGGAATTTTTCATTTATTTCCTACAATGTATAATTTTAATATCTTATTTACCTGTGTGTCAATCCACAAATATTTTTTTCCAATAGATGAAAATTAGGCTAGATTTTTTAAAGATGCATAATATTGTGAACACATTGATAAGTAATTGAATAATCCAATTTTACTATGGGTTCTTCATAGAACACTGTCATTCATTCATTGGTTTGTACTGTTTTTTGTATGGTTGCTAATGTCTTATACGCATGATAAAGTTTCCGAGCCTACCGCCCCCCTCCCCGTTTAATAAACATTTAAAACCTGGATGTAATTTGCAAATCTTCAACTGAAAAAAAAGAGAAAATTAATTTTTTCTTTAAATTATTAACTTGTTATTAATTTACAATATTAACTTTAATTTCAGAAGAGTTCTTATTTATTTAGATATGGTTTTAAAAATTAAAACCAGAAAAGAAAATTTAAAAAAAATTATTTTTTGCCTTGTTACTTTAAAAATTAGTTTGCTTTATTTTTACTTCATTTTTTTCATCAGGTATATTGTTTGCGTTTTTCGAAAAATTTAATAAAATCTTCCCCCACAGTTAAGATTTCCCAAGGTTTTGCCAGATTTTCAAAATTATTCCCCAGATCCCAAGGGGGGTCGTGAATTCCCAAGATCTTGGGAAATTTCCCAAGGTGTGGTAGCCCTGCTTCGACTATGGTACCGTAAATACACTGCAATAATTTTATGGGAACTCTTCTGCGCACATGGAACAAAGTTACGTGATCACCGCTTCTCCTTTTTAGTCGAAGCAAATGGTTAATTCCGCAAGGGACGGACCAAGCTTTCTTCAGCCACCCGCATTCTACTAAAAAAACTCTGGAGTTGCTAAAAAAATGTTGCCCTTCCTTTTCCTACATATTATTCTACATAAAGCCTTTTCTCCAGACGAAGTGAAATAGAAATAAATATGGTGAGGAAGAAATGGGGAACAAAAAAACCCTTCATCTTTAAATAGGTACCACAAACTGATTTTTCAAAACAGACCTATGCTCACTACAGCGTTATTTTATACTGTCATGTCAAGACCTCATGATTCTAAGAACGTGAATACCAAACTTGTTCATATAACTCAATAAGTAAAAAAAGTTATGCCAAGTTATGCATTTTTTAAATTTGGTATTTTGAATTTTTTTTACGAGCATCAAAATTCCCATTTTCGTAAGGTTATATCTGTAAACTAAATCACTTATACTCATTCCCTTACACTCAACACATACCCACATATATAGAGAACAGACTCAATTTTTTTAAAGTTTTAAAATAATTAATTCATTAAATTTTATTGTAAATAAAAATGGTGTTTCCTATAATTTTGAAAAAAAGGGAGGTAAAAAAACGCAATATTTGCACATTTTCAAAAAATCACCAAAAATTAACCGATAAGAAAGCATACATGATAATTATATCAAAATGTAGGGTAACTAAATGTCTATGTGCTTAAACAGCTTGTGCACCCATAACAATTATATATAAAATAAAAAAATTGTTGGAAAAGTGCATGGATTCACATGAAGCAAAAAAATCAGTCATATTAAAAAAATTGCGAAAAATAATAGTTACACCCACAGTTAAACTTATTATACCAAAATACGGAATAACTTAAGCTCTACATTTTTAAACAGGTATTGAGCCCATTACAAGCATGGCTAGATCAGAGCAAGGGTACACTTCCTGGAAAATAATTTCTTTCAAAAAATGGATTAGTTATTTCTAATATTCCAGCTGCAAATAATAAAATTTGATCAATAACTAGATTACCCTATGCTAACCAGTCACTGTACCCATTTATATAAACTACAAGCATGGCTAGGCATAAACACATTTTTTGAAACCCCCAACACAACCCAAAAAAATCAACGTCAAGAAAATAGATAACGGGTAACCAAATTTGTCATGCATTTTTATACAAAGCATTTTAACACCCGAGTAACACTTACTCCCTGAGTGGGTCTAACACTGAAATGCAAAATATGAATTCTTTTTGAAGAATTTGAATAACAATTTTTAGTTATGATTTATGACGTTTATTTCTTAATGAGATACCGGATACCGGTAGTGCTCAATTTTCTTAATGTTTTTTCTAAATTTAACTTCAAGGTATTTAATTTAATTCTTCTGCAATAAGCTGCATCTTTTCAATTTCTAGCTCATTAACTCTTACACTAAATAATCTTGCATTGTCTTACGTATGGTGTGGTTTTAATGTAAGCTCATCCACTTTTTTCTAACAAAGGTACCGTTATATATTTATCTCTGTTGCTGCTAGGGTTAGTGACAGTGTCAACTATAAATATATAACTCAGGATTTTTTTTTAAAGTTCAGGGAGCTTTGCTTTTACATTTAGATAGTTCATTAAAATGGCGAGAGTCATCAAAGGGCGGGAGTTGATATTTATTTTCTTTGGATGACTTTGACTTTGGAATGAATGTACTTTAGGGCCTACTATTTAAAAGTGGGTAAGGAGTTCATGTCATAATCATATTGCCGGCATCCCCTGGGAGCGGGAGGCACTGTCAAATAGCGTAGGAAGACCCAGAAATTCAGGTTTGTTTGCATAATTTATATTAGCATTTATTATGCTGACTTAGGGCTAGGGCTATGTTACAGCTGGACACAAATGTATAGCATGCACCAGCGTTCCCCAAATTGTGGTCCGCGAACCAACATTGGTCCGCGAGCCTTACGTTTGCCCGTCCGTAAAACATGCAAAATAGGCATTTCACTCTGATCCTTACAAATACAACACGACCGTGGTGGCACGTGACCCACTAGAGTACTGGTAGGTCGCGGGTGGCACCGTCTATAACCTACGTGGTTTTTCCTTTTTGTCTTGAGACTTAGTCATGGGATTTTGCATTTTAAAAATGTGTTAGTATTGTTGTTTATTTGTGGGGGAAGGTGGTGTCAAAATATTTAAATTTTCACTGTAAAAAATAATATGAACCTCCGGGGGCGATCGCCACAGGGACGTAACTAGAGTTAGTGTCACCAGAGGCGGCCCAAGGTTTTTTGACCAAAAAAAATTAAAATAATAATAACCCTTCAGTTGGCCGAAAATTGCACCTCTCAATACTCAATGTAAAGCAAAAAGTGCTGCTGGGGCGGACCACTCCGTTTCTACAGTCTACGTCTCTTCGTAACCCTCTTTATCCTGTTAACCTTAATAATGTTAATAATAATGTGGGGTAAAAAACAGCTTGGCCCACCTCGGACGGCACTAACCCTAGACTAACTTTAATCCTTAGCTACGCTACTCACTGAATGCAACCCAAAATTTAAAAAAAAAAAATAATAATAAATAATTATTATTAAAAATTAGACAATGTTATTATGAATCAAGATTACGTAGCGATTTAACGGAGCGTGATAAATTATAATTCTTTCTTTAGGTGGGTGTATTTATTATTATTTTATTTATAGCAGTCCGCAGCAGTATTATTTACTTTTTTTTTTTTTTTTTTTTTTTATAACAATCAAGACCTCCCGTTACCTGCCCAGTAACCGGTATGTTGCTCTCTAAAATTTATTTTATTATTAAATATTCGGGATTATATGACCTATTTTGTTGCATAGCAAAGTACAAGTAGGGTTTCAGTTTTATAGATTTAATGATGATGTTAACTGTCAAATTGTTTTAAAACGATTCAAGTGATTGAACAAGTTCAAGTAGTAATAGTCTTAGGCCTTACTTAGACTTAGGATTGTAGTAGTAAAAATAAGTAGTTGTCAAGTTACAAGTTGTAGACGTAGATTCCAACTCTGCCTTTTGTTTTAAAAAATCATATTAATTAATACAGGCTTATTATTTTTTAGTGTTATTTTATTTAATAAACTTATGTCAATAATTAAATAATGACAATCAAAATCATAATTATTGTCGAATTTATATTTTATTTTATTAGGCCTACGCCTACTATTATTGGCAAGATTGTCCCATGGCTATAACTATAATTATAATTAATAATACTTTTTATACATTTACTTAAATTTACTATTTTGTGGTCAATTAGTAAATATTAAGTCTAACTAAGTCTAAGTTAATGTGAATGTGGACTTTGGATCCCTACCTGACACTCTGATTCTGCATGTGTGTACATACATGTCATGAATAGTATGATAATGATATGATTATTAAGCACAATGTTATTCAATGAAAATTTTTTAATGTAAAAGTAAAATAATGAAATAGCCATGCCATAGTGTCCATTGGTCCATAGTCATAGGTCTTCCAATCTAGCCTACATAATAAAGCCTAAAAATTAAGCCTAAATGAGTCATGAGGAAAGTTGTAAAAACAGGGTCCATCAAATTATCAAAAATAAAAAATATTTGAATTTGACACAATAATTTATTTGGAGAGCGCCTAACTTAACTTTATAAAACAAATTCTTTTACAAATTTATTTTAATGTTTACAAATAAATTTAATTCATTAGCCTAACATTACAATTACAAACACATTTTTTAAGTTTTTATTTTTAAATAAAACTCTCCAAATAAATTATTAGGTTCAATTATTACTAAGTCATAATTGGAACGCTTTATCATATAATCATAAAAACATGCTGCAAATGCTAAACATATGAAAATTTAGGCATAGACATTGGGCAAATTATATGAACAGACATTGGGAAAATTATATGAACAAGCAATTATTAATGATTAAAATTACTATTATCACTTAGATTGGAGTCATATGAATTTATTTTCTGACCCAATCTGGCCTAGTGCCTAGTTGAGGTCAAAATAAAATGTAGATTAATGACTACATTGATTTAAATTTATTTTATTGTATAATTTATAATACTATTAGTATAATTGGGGACATGCTTCTGTCTTGTTTTACTTTATAACATCACATATAAGGTATTCTAGCCACTAGCTTCGATGTTTGATTGATACCAATATGTGATTTTTGTTTGTTGGCATTATTTTCCACTGGCTCATTTCAAGGCCACTCCCTGGAAACATTACTCTAGCACAGGGGTCTCAAATTCGCAGCCTGCGGGCCATTTGCGGCCGCCAAGATGATATTTTACGGCCCGCTACCTGACAGCAAAGTTTAGCGTTAGTATCCAGTGCGTTTTCCCCATTCTCATATCAAATTATGTGACTCCCCGCGACGGTTGCTGTTGAATCTCACTGGCTTGTCTAATTCTGATTTTTATTTTTATTGTATAGGTTTGTACTTTGATTATAATGGTAAAAACTGTTTGAAATCGGATTATAAGTTTTTATTTTATAACATTTTTGAGACAAACATGGCCAAAGTGCTGTTTTAAGAAAACACTCTTCGAATTTTGTAAATACATATATCAAAAGTTTTAAAAAGTCAGTAAGTGGGTAATGCACAACCATAATTGTGTGAATCGTAGCAACCTAATACAAAGAATATCCAAGAATCCCAAAGTGAGGGAAATTCGGAGCCTATCAGCTTGGTCACTTTCAAAATAGGATTAGTCAAAAAGGCCTTTTCTATGATAAAAAAATATAGAAATTCATTCTCCCTACAATAGCATCTACCTTCGCATCAATTTTAATCATTCATAAATATTGCCTGCTCCTGCTTTCTGTTTGAACAATTTTTTGGTTTAAAATCGCTTTTTGGAATGGCCATATTTTTATTTCATTTTTTTTTTTTCTTTTTTTACCAGAACCTCATTATTTTCAAAGCATTTATTAGCTGAATATTTTTACTTCAGATCACAGAGAATTTTATTTTCTTATCAAGGATATATCGCCGTTAACAATGATACGGAAGGTGATGGCCGGGTCTAATTGTGGAGTTTAAGGGTGACATGATGCTCAACATTTGAGTTTTAATGTTTGTTGGTCTAATTTTGTAATCGCTTTTTTTGTGTGGAATACTTGATGAGGCCCAGTCTCACTCAGACTCTACCTCCTGCGGCCCTTGGATAATTTGAGTTTGAGATTCCTGCTCTAGCAGTACTGTCCCAATATTGTGAATGTAAAAAGATATGCATGGGCTGCAATACAGATTGAATAATGTCATCATTATCTTGTAGAGTTTCAGGCAGGAACCCTTCTAACCATGGACATCTTAAGGGGATGACTTAGACAGCCCCAGTGGAATTCCTGCAACGTCTGTCTAAAGGAATTTGTCATCTGGAATCCCTCCCCCTCTCTTTCCACTGTTCTTAGAGCTTAAATTTTTTCAAAGTTTAACTTTAAAAGGGGTGTGGAATTTATGAATAGCCTTTTGGAGTAGGAAAACTGAAACAATGAAAAACTAGTTTTTACCACACACACTTCTCTGTAAAGTGCAAAAATTAATGAAAAGGTAAAAAGAAAAAAAAAGTTATGTTTCAAAAATAGTTTTGTTTGAAAGTTTTCTTTCTTGTTGTGTTAAATTCAAGCTTAAATAAAAATAAATTCATTTTCTTGCTCCGGTCTTATAGTGATTTGGCTATTGATACATTTTTGTTTTTAAAAATTTGATTACCTGTATGTTTTGGGAAATTTAGATTACCTGTCTGTTTAGGGAAATTTAGATTATCTAAATGTTAAGAGAAATTAGATAATCTATTAGATTTAGAAGAGGGCTTACTTTCTTGCTAAAATGGTAAAATTAAAATAACAGGGGTTTTGTTTTAGATGTCATCTTTAGGAACGTTCATAATATTATATGTAAATTGGTTTGGTTTGGACATCATATGCAATAATTATATCTCTGAATTTAAATAATGGTGTAAGTTGAAGAAACCTTATTAATTATTTCTAAAAAATTGTCAATTTAATATTCTTAAGAAAAACTTATTTATTAATTTTATTATTATGTTAATATGTTAAGCGAAACTTTGAATGGGAGGGCACAAAAAGATGACTACAAATGAATAATTTCAATAAAATTTCATGTAATATTTATTGAATGTGCCAAAGTATCTCATGAAGGATTCATCATTTCACATTTGCCATTGGCAGTTTTTTACTAAATAAAAAAAAAAAAAGATTAATTTTTTGCAATAGTCGGTTATATATATTCTCTTCAACAGGCTGTTAGCCTCAATAAATCACTTAATGCAGTTTTATTGTGCTCCTCTCTCGGATCACAAGTACTCAAGTACTTTATGTGTGTCTATAATCATTTATACCTTGTAATATAGTCCAAATAAGTTGACACTCTGCTTTTTGGGCAATGTTCTTCCCAATTGTCACCTTCTTAGAACAGTATTAAAATTTAGAGAGCGCACAGTTCTTTTTTTATTTGCTAAATCAAGGCTGCAATGATTTGCAGAAAAACTAGAAAATGATCCACAATCACAAACATTTTTATATTATTTTTTTTTCTACCTACCCAGGAAAAGAAGCCTTCCCATTGCCAGCAGGCCTCACAGAGCTCGGTCGCCATGGGTTACAAGTACACTATTATCTACTCCATCATCTCTTGTGTCACATTTGTTTTCATGATAGTAGTAGATCTGATCTTCAGGATTTTATACAAAGGGAAAGGACAAAGAGTAACCACCGTGACAGATCCTCTTTTGTTGCTACCAGCTTCGGTGCTGGCCCAGAAGATACGCAGCAGACAGGTCAGATTTTAAATCTCCTTCTGTAATACATGTTTTATGATGTAATGCTGTTGCAATAAAAAAAGTCAGTTTATATTGCATTTCTAGTATGGATTTGAATCATTAAAGGAACCTTTCATTGCAACCCTTGGATTCTTATTGTATAGTTTTTTATATTGAACTAAATTTGATAGCTTTACAATATGGCAATTAACATAATATATCTAAGGGCGATTAAAATCTTGATGTATTTAACTAATGGCGGATTTTAATGTCTTTTCAGTAATATAAAGTGTTTTTTGGTTTATTTACATGATTAATGCAGCTTAGAGCGGAAGATGTCATGGCAGCTTACATAGCGAGGGCCAAGGAAGTGAACACGCTTGTCAATGCAGTAGTAGGAGAGCAGTATGACACAGCCTTGCGTCGGGCACAGGAGCTGGACAGCACTCTAGATTCTCTGTCGAATGAAGAAATTATGCAGCAGTACTCTGAAGACCAAAAACCACTTCTTGGCGTCCCCTTAACTGTAAAAGAGGCTTTTTATTGGACTGGTAAATAGCAGATATGATAATACATCAATCACAACTCATTTGAGCAAATTAAAATTATTTCTTTTTTATTATTTTGCAGAGATTCAAGTTTTGTGTGGAAATTTGTTTTTTTAAAAGGAACATTCTCCTTTAGGTTTTTTTATAACTATCTTTTAGGTGCTCTTGCATTAAATTTTTAGAATGTTAATCCTGAGACATCTGAAAGTTATTCATTTTTTGCAAGCTGCATGCTGAAAAAAAAAATGTAAAGTTATCTGAATGATTCTGTGTAGTTCTACCTTTTAAGTTTCTACCTTGTTTTGTCTGTAGGCATGGCTAACACATCGGGAGTAACAAGCCGCAAACATCTGAGATCAACCCACGATGCCCCCGTTCTGGCCAACCTTCAGTCTGCTGGTGCCATCCCATTCTTGCAGACCAACATCAGTGAGGTGTGCATGTGGTTTGAGTCATCCAACTATGTGTATGGCTGCACCAACAATGCTTATGATACAACTCGCATGGTTGGAGGAAGCTCAGGTAAAACAGTTGGAGTTCTCTCAATGAAAAAAGAAATTGCCTTTAATTTTTTAACGCATTTGGAATGTTTATTACAAAGTTACACATGGATATAAATTTGAAGTTTCCATAGCAGGCCAAATATTTAATTTATACCCAGTTCTCTGAATTAAGTGGTTGACTGACAAACTGGCTCCTGACAAAAATAAGCTTACTGAGTTGGCCTCAGTGTTGATGAAATAGCTGGCTTCTCATCAACTAGTTTAGTATTATCCTTTAACTTATCTGAATGTCAATTATTTTAAAGTTTTATTTTGACAGTTCAATAACGGAAAAACATTTATTTTTAACAAATTAAGCATTTACCAATATCGCCTTACATTATGTGTCTTTTTTCAAAGTACTCTATTTTGACTACATGTGATATGGTCTTACTTATTCTTTCTTAACTTCTTGTCAAAGATTTATTGTTATAATAAAAGGTACATGTATAACACAATCAATTTATATTGAATTAATAATAATCAAGAAAAGAACAAAAAAACAATCGGGAAACAATTCTTGATAATTTACCTTTGGAAGAAATTTATGAGTTGCAATGATCATAATGGGAAATTATTCTATGGGTTCAAATGTAATTTGATTTCCTGCATGTAGATGTTGTACTCTATTTCTAAGATGTTATACTCCAAATCTTAGATGTTATAATCCACATCTTAGATGTTATACCCCATATCTTAGATGTTATACTCTGTTTCTAAGATCTTATACTCGATTTCTAAAAATTCTTATCAAAGGTTATCAGTTTTTTCTACTTGGGGTAAAATGCAGGTCCCTGGGAGTCATTATCTTGATCCAAATGTGATGGAAAATTATCGCCCCATCTCCAATCTACCATTTATTTCTAAAATCTTAGAAAAAGTCGTTCTCCGCCAACTCCAGGATCACCTCACTCAGTTTAACTTGTTTGAACCATTCCAGTCAGCATACAGGGTGCATCATTCTACTGAGACAGCCCTGTTGCGCGTCGTAAACGACCTTCTGTCGTCTTGTGATGAGGGCAGGGTATCGATTTTGTCTTTACTCGATTTATCGGCAGCTTTCGATACGCTCGACCACGGCATACTGCTCCAGCGTCTGCAACAAACGTTCGGTCTCACTGATACCGTCCTGTGTTGGTTCCGATCGTATCTGACTAATCGGGTCCAGTCGGTTATTTCAAACGGCTTGACCTCGAAGAAATCTAATCTCGAATTCGGAGTACCCCAGGGCTCGGTCCTAGGCCCGGTGCTTTTCACGATGTACATTCAGCCCCTGGGCGCAGAGATCAGGCAGTTTGACATGTTGTATCACATGTACGCGGACGATACACAACTTCATCAATCCGTGATCCCTTCTCAGTTCCCTCAGCTGCTCAGTATGACACAGAAGACAATGGAGTCGGTTAAGCACTGGATGACCATAAACAAGCTCAAATTAAATGATGATAAGACTGAGCTGCTCCCCATCGCGACCGCTCAGAAGCAAAAATCTGCAAATAACACGACATCCATTACTCTCTCAGGTGTGCGTATTGAGTTAGCTCAAACAGTGCGGTACCTGGGTGTCTACCTAGATAGAAGACTAACTTTTGAAAGTCATATTAACATGCTATGCAGGGCGATTTTTCTGGAGCTGCGCAGGATTAGTCAAATCAGGCCCTTCCTAACAATTGATACAACAAAGAGGCTGATGTCTGCATTTGTGCTATCACGCATGGACTATTGCAATGCTCTCATGGTGGGTCTTCCAGCTACGCTCCTGGATAAAATTCAAATAGCACAGAATAATGCGGCTCGCATTGTTCTCCGCAAACGCAAGTTTGACCATGCAAAAACACTTCTGAGAGAGCTGCACTGGCTGCCAGTGCGTGCTCGCATGGAGTACAAAATCGCAACTTTGTGCTACCGCTGCTTACATGACCTGGCGCCGTCCTATCTGAAAGAGCTGCTGACGCCTTATGTACCCAGTAGAGAGCTCCGCTCATCCGATAGTGGCAAACTCTCGACACCACGTGTTTGCCTTGAGACTTACGGAAAGCGCACTTTCGCATTTGCTGGTCCAACAATTTGGAACGCCCTTCCTGTCGATCTTAGAAACAACCAGACACTGGAGTCCTTTAAAACCGATCTAAAGACACATCTATTTCGCAAATACCTTCTGGGATGATTGTCTACCTTATTTTCCAGTTAATGCATAATGGCTGTGTTGCTTATGGTTGAAATGGCTAGAAAGACTTTGCCATTGTATGCTTGTACTTAGTTTTTGTCGTGTTGCGTTTGTTTTAAATGTGGTGAATTATAGATATTTTTTGTTGACTTTGTACCGCGCTTCGAGCCTTTGGGGATGAAGCGTGTTTTTGAAATGAACTTTATTATTATTATTATTATTATTATTAAATTTATTGAGTTTTAAAAGATTTAAGTTGATTATTTTCTTTCAATAAAAATTTAAACACAAAATGTGTGCTTGTTTCAGCTTAGCCCATTTTCATCTCACTCAAGACGCATTTTAAAATAATTGTAAGTTATTCTTTTAAATGCGTCAATTGCCAGAATTTCTGTTTTTATTTTTTGACCTGGTGTTATCTCTGAAAGGCGGTGAAGGCTGTATCCTGTCGACTGGTGCATCTGTCATTGGGATTGGCTCAGATATTGGTGGAAGCATTCGTATGCCTTGTTTCTTCAATGGTGTGTTTGGCCACAAACCAACAGGAGGTATGCCATTTTAACACTGTGTTGTAGGTGCTCATCATGGATGGGCATTCTGTTAGCCTTTTAACATTTCTGACCTTAAAGAAGATAGAAGTGAGGTTATTCTTTAAACATTGAGAATCATCATTATGGTGTGGGTTATCAAACTTGCAGCCTGCAAGCAGATTTTTGTGTTAAAAGTGTCACAAGTTGTGATTTTGAAATAGAAAAATGTTAAATAATGACTCATCATGTGGGTGGTTGGTGGACCTTGAGCTGACATTGAGTCATTCTTATTTAGGAAGTTCTTGAATCAACTGTGGGAATTTTTTTTACAAAGTTATTTCATTTTGTAAACAAGAAGAGTTACATGTTTCCTTGATGCACTGTATGAAATCTTAACATGCTTATGTACTGATCTTGAATTACACATATTTCATTTTTCAAGACAGAAACATGATATTTCTCTTAGTGCACCCAATAAAACAAATAAAATTAGAAATTTAGCCCTGAAGAAAGGGGTCAAGGAACAAAAAGGAAAATTAAAATGATTTTACTTAATAAACTTTTGCCCATTCTTATTCTTTTTTTTAAATTTATGTTTGGGTTGGATGCATACATATATTTATACTTACATAAATGTTTTTTTTGTTGTACTGACGAAGGCATTGGCCGAAACATTTGCATTTGTATTTTGTGTAACTATTATTAAAGCTTACCCAATATTGCATTATTGACACAAATTGTTTGTGTTTCATTAATCTCCTTGAAAATTTTGTCGCAGTCCAACACTCTTATTATAAACATTATAATAAATCATTATAGAGCATTTGAATTTTTTGTTATCTAGGAGTTGTGGAAAATGGTGGTCAGTTTCCAATAGCAAGTCCAACAGCCATGGCACTGCTAGCCACCGGACCCATGTGCCGCTATGCCACTGATCTTATCCCCATGTTGAAGGTCATGGCTGGACCAGCTGGTGTACAACAGCTTCAGCTAGATACCAATGTAAGTGTTTGGCCAGAACCTATTCTTGCCATCATTCGTCATATGCCCTTCAGTGGTGTGTTAAACATGGGAAAGGGATTCATTTGATAAGATAAAATTAATTCACATAATCAAGTGTGGTCTGACTCTTTTAATTACACTTTGGGAAGGAGTGGTTACAAATGACCCATGAACGTTGGCTGTCTATAAATTTCTCAATTACAATTTTACATAAATTGTGGTAGCGCAAAATAAAATGCAAATTACAGGAAATTATTATCTCCTTGCATATTGACCTCCGATATTTATTGCACCAAAGCTGTTAGCGGCGTCACGAAAAGAGGCATAAAAACTTGCCAAATGATTTGACAAGATTCCAACATGGCTGACATAAGTGAATTAATTTCATAAACATGTTGACATCTGCATCGTTTTCTTCGGAAGAATTGGCTCCTGAATATGCCAATGCTAAAAACGGTACACATCAAAGTCATGGTTTCCTCGCTTGAAGCTTGATGGTTAACATTTGGCTCTGTAGTTTTTAATCACTTTCACATCTGTGCCATGTGGGCAGCAATGAATCAAAGATCTGTGAGCATACAGTGCAGATAAAATATCTTTCATTGACCCTATGTTACGCTATCAAAAATGTGAAAAGTACCCAGACCTAAAAAAAAGGAGAAAATGATTTTTTTTAAAAATCCTATTTATATCCTGTATCTCTGTTGCAGGTGGAACTATCCAAACTAAAAGTCATCTCAGTACCTGACGATGGAGGCTCACTTTTAGTCAGCAAGGTAGATGAGGAGTTGGTTGACATTCAGAGACAGGTAAAAAGTGTACCTGTATTGGGGATTCAACTGTTAACTTCACTTAGTGGCCAGTTCACTTTCTAATATTGGGGGGAGCTTGGTTGCTGTGGATTAAAGTTCGATCTTGTAATTTTGTTAAATACAGTGTTTTTAGTTTACAGTTTGAAGTGCATTCATTTGTGGCAGCTATTTATAGCCTGGTGGTACACTAATTTATTCAGTTTGAAGTGCATTCATTTTTTGTAGCTATTTATAGCCTGGTGGTACACTAATTTATTCAGTTTGAAGTGCATTCATTTTTTGTAGCTATTTATAGCCTGGTGGTACACTAATTTATTCTTGTATATTTACAGTCAACTTTGTAAAAAAAAATATTTAAAATTGACCCTTATTTTAAAAAGGGTGCCATATTAATTTTCGAAGCTGATGCAGACAAAATAACACGTTCCCTTTTCATGAATCCTAGGTCTACACCTTCTGCATTAAATATTATTTATTTGATTGAATCTAATGTCCCACTTTCTGTAAATCAGGTTGCAGAGTACCTGAAAAAAGAAGGGGCCCTCGTAAAGGAAACTCATATAAGAAAATTCCGACTTGGACTCCAGATGTGGGCAGGGAAAATGAATCTGTGCAAAGATTCCCCAAAGTTCGCCACTCTGATGTCTGGGAGTGAAACAGAACATGTCAACTGTTTTCTGGAAGTCTTGAAGAAGCTGACCGGTCAGTCGTCCCACACCGTCCCAGCCATCGCCCTAGGCTTGGTTAACGACATCCTCCCCAAATACACCAAGTCATCCGATGACCAAGCCGTTCAGATTTTAGAAGCCCTGAGAAAAGAACTGCTGGAGCTCATGGGGGATGATTCCGTGCTGCTCTACCCTTCCCACCCCAAGCTCGCACCCTACCACAGCCACCCGATATTCACACCTTTTAATTTTGCCTACACCGCTATGTTTAATGCCCTCGGGTTCCCCGTCACCCAGTGTCCCCTCGGCCTCTCAAAAGACGGACTCCCCCTGGGTGTCCAAGTTGTGACCACTCCATACAATGACCACCTCAGCCTGGCAGTAGCTAAGAAACTGGAAGAAAATTTTGGAGGATGGATGAACCCAGGACTGCAGCGAAATCCTAGCCTTAAACATTAGGATATTATCCTTGTTGATGCTTATTTAACTTGAGAAATGACAAGCATAAAATTCCGAAAATCTGTGATTTGAATTCCATTTATAATTCATACAATTTTTTATTCGCCAATTTACATTTTTTTTGTTATTTTGCACTTGTCAGCAAAACAAATTCTAAGAGGCATTTTATAATCTAAACCATGACCTGTCAGCATGCTTACAGTACTCAGAAACAGCTTTGGTGGTGACTGTGCTAGGTGTGTTCAGGCTGGTGTCATTGAACTTTGCCCAGATGAAGACACAGTGGTTCTCAAACCAGCTAGAGAGATTTCTGTGCAATTCTGCTACATTCACCGTAGTTGACATTCCCCAAACAAGTAGCATCCTGTGAGCTAATTTTGTCCAGCAATGCCTTCAATCATATCATGTTACATTAACTAGTATTGTAAAGCTAAACAACTATTTAAAAAAAAATTTAATAGATACATTGTTTGTGTCTTTTTTGTGTCTTCTGAAAAAATGCTTTTTGCCATTGTGCTCACTGCTTTCTTCTGTCTTTAGAATAGCCTTTTCTGATCTGTTGAACTTTTTTTTATGTTTGAAGAAAGATAAATGGATTTGTTTTCAATGCCCCCTGTGTGTTTAAGACTGCCTTATGACAACTTTTGCCTACTGTAGACACTTTCTGTTTCATAAATTCAACTTTACAGCAATTGTGCTAATTTTTTTTTCTCTACAGATTAAATGTTGGCCTTGTATGTTGTTGAGCTTTGTTTTTTATGGTAAATGTCAATGAAAGATTGAAACTCAGCTGATATTAGACAATTTATTGAGCTGTACACATCAAAGTTTATTGAACTTAATTTATTGATTGATCTATGTTAAATAATTGTATAGTTGGTCTCAGTGATGACAAGTTTTGTGCGATGTTGAGAAATAATGATACCATGAGCAATTGAATTGAATTATATCATGAATAATTTGATGAAATGATATGAGTTAAAGAATAAAATTATATCATGAGTTAAAGAATGAAATTATATTATGAGTTAAAGAATGAAATTATATTATGAGTTAAAGAATGAAATTATATTATGAGTTAAAGAATGAAATTATATCATGAGTTAAAGAATGAAATTATATCATGAGTTAAAGAATGAAATTACATCATGAGTTAAAGAATGAAATCATATCATGAGCAATTGAATGGAATTATATCATGAGTTAAAGAATAAAATTATATCATGAGTATTAGAATGCAATCATTGTGCTCCATGTAAAGTTTGGAAATGGTTGCAAGCTGAAGCTTGGTTTGTGGTATTTGTTTTGTTGATTTGCATATCATAGAATCCAGCAGCTGTGATGATCTGTACTTATATACAATGGTCCATTCAAGTGTTTTATCCATTTGTCATTCACAAACATATCAAAACTTTGAATCAAAAATAAAAGTAATCAAGTCTGCAATGATTAGAAATTCCTTTTTTTTCCCCTTGTAATGTAGTTATTGTCGCTGCGTGCTTGTAACTGGTTTAATTAGTCTGATCATTTTTTTTTTTTAATAATGAGATTTCAAAAAAGATCATATTAAAACCTGGTATTTTATTTTGAAATAGTTTTTCTATGAGAATTTTAAAAAATAAAATGGTAATAGAACTTAGAAATGGGCCAAAACCAATTTAAAATTAATTCTTGTTCTATTGAAAGTGATTTATGTTTTGTCAAGTTTTAGAAAATGAGGTTTATATTTTGTAAGGTTTAAAAAAAAAGAGGTTTGTATATTATTTTTTTGGGCATACATCTGTCACAATGTGATGATGGTGTAGAGGTCACAAGATGAAATACACAAGGCCCGGGATTATTCTTTTTACGAATATAAGCTGGTTCCCTACACAGCAAATTGCCTCTCTCCAAGCTGTTGGATAACCCAAGGGAAAATCTTATGTGGATGATACAGCTTTACACCAGTGGCTTCGCAGGAGTTATCGGAATGTTTCATTGTGTAGTGTTATCCGCCTACGGGACTCCATCTCCAGGTTTTGAATTCAGAGTTATCTTCTCTTAGATGAGTTGCCATCCAAGGTTAACACCCATAACCCAGGCTGCTGGTGATGTGTTTGCTTAGCTGAGTGCTGGGTGGCCGAGTGATCTAAACTCAGTCAATCTCAAGTTCATGGTTTATGTTTAAAGATATCCGAAATTGACTATTGAAAATTTCAGGAAATTTCCAGTCAAGAAAATGTTTAATGGATTACACTGAGGACTAAAACTGACCAAGTGTTGAATAGTTGTATCTTCAAGTCCGTGTCAAAGTGTATTAGCCCTGACTTCTGGTAACTACCTGTCGTAGATCTGGTAGATACCCTGTGACAGCTCTGACCCCTGGTAGATACCCTGTGACAGCTCTGACCCCTGGTAGATACCCTGTGACAGCTTTGACTCCTGGTAGATACACTGTGACAGCTCTGACCCCTGGTACATACCCTGTGACAGCTCTGACTCCTAGTAGATGTCCTGTAACAGTTCTGAATCCTGGTAACTACCTGTGACAGCTCTGACTCCTGGTAGATATGCTTGACTCTTGCTTGTGCACTTGTACAAAATTTTAGTAGATCATAATCAGATTTAAACCAGTGACAAGCATGTACAGACAATAACCACAAAAGAGGGTCTGTCAGTCACTCCTTACCACCACACAGGCCTAATTAAACAAAGTAGACTATTCCTCCAAACACATCTTTGAACGAGCCTCATTACATACAAGTGGACTGCAGATATACAGCAATGTTGGTTGTTGGGTCCCTCATTACATACAAGTGGACTGCCAGATATACAGCAATGTTGGTTGTCAGGTCCCTCATTACATACAAGTGGACTGCCAGATATACAGTAATGTTGGTGGTCGGGTCCCTCATTACATACAAGTGGACTGCCAGATATACAGTAATGTTGGTGGTCAGGTCCCTCATTGCATACAAGTGGACCGCCAGATTTACAGCAATGTTGGTGGTCAGGTCCCTCATTACATAAAAGTGGACTGCCAGATATACAGTAATGTTGGTGGTCAGGTCCCTCATTGCATACAAGTGGACCGCCAGATTTACAGCAATGTTGGTGGTCAGGTCCCTCATTACATAAAAGTGGACTGCCAGGTATACAGTAATGTTGGTGGTCAGGTCGCATTTCTTAATTAAGTGAATTAGTTGTAAGTTGCAAAGGTGAACGTCTAAAAATGCTACATTAAAAATAACCAACACAGTTTTTGTTTTGTTTTGAAAGCCATTTACAATGGATTTTTATTTATTATTAAAAATACATAACTTATAATAAAACAATTAATTATATAAAATTAACATTTATAATTGCATTAGAGTAATATATACACATATTTTAAATTAAAATCACTGATAACACAAATGATGAGTCCATTGTTTGACCTGATCATGAACAGAAGTAGGGCCACATGATTCGAAGAAAAAGCGAATCACATGAATTATCATAATCAATTGATGAGTAATTATAAATAGTTTTTATTAAATTTTTTTATATAAAAATTGCTGATTATCACAACCACCTTTTGAAAGTCTGAGTTATGAGAACGCATCATACTCCATGGTTGTCAGAGCGTTTACCAGATTTTTTTGTTGAACAAGCGTTTCACATAACACTTTGTTGACCGAGTGGTTTCCACAATTCTTTGTCTACCGAATGGTTCCCACAATCTTTAGAGGATTGAGTGATTCCCACAGTCAGTTGGCAACGGGGCGAATACAGACTGTGTGAATACTATAATTATTTGTTGACCTAAAAACCTGGCCAGTAAGTAACATGGTTATATTAATGCAAAGCCTCTAAAAATAGTAACACCGCCATACAGAACTGATAATTAATACAGGCATAGCACAGGTCTATGAACTTGGTAATGCAACTGAATGTATTAGCACATTTAAAAAATATATTTTTTGCTTATTTATTTTCTTAATTGTACATTAACATTATTTTGGATAGATCTCTTTTTCAAGTTTTCTGTTTAAGCAAAAAATATTTTGATATTATTGAAAATTTTGATAATAGATAGAGATTTTTAATGGCCAACATATACTGAAAAAATGAGTTTAAATTGTTGTTTTTACAATTATGTCAAAGTGCTGTCATTTCGTTTTCACCAAAGTAAAAAGGATCTGCAATATTTGTGTCTGGGATGGGAATTTCTGTGTCAAATCTCTCCACTGCTTGTTCACTAGTTTGGAATGCAGCAGCTGAGTTTTCATTAAATCGAACTTTTTTTGCGTAATCAGGCTCTGGTTCCTCTGGAAGCAAGTCATGTATGTCCTTGTTTGAATCAGCGGCAGAGTCATGTTTCACCAGATCTAGGGAGGAGTCAAGCCTGTCCAGATGTGTGTTTACGGCGTGTGGGCTGACTGTAGGCAAATCTTTCTCATGGCTGTCAGCAGCCTCCTCACCATCATCAGCATCGCCATCGTAGACCACATCGCCAGGCACGCCACTATCGGCTTCACTGCTCCTTCTGTCAAACTGATTTGGAAATTTAGTGCCATCGTAGTCGACGTGGGTGGCGTTAGGATCATCTAGGTCCGATGAGCTGGTCGGTGGCATTTTGACATTGATCATTGTCTTATGAACTGGTTCCGTCACCCTCTGAACCTCGCTGATAAGCGAGGAACCATACTGTGAAGCTCTGGGCAGTCTAGGCGAATCTGTCTTTGTTTCTTTTTTATTTTCATCTTCGAAATCAACTTGTGGAATGTTGGGAACCGGAACATTAACATAGCCACTTTGAGGAGCTTCCACTGAGTGACTGTCACCATCTTGCTGGCTGGCATCTCCTGCCCGAGGGCTAGTATCTCCATCCTGTGGGCTAGCATAACCATGAGAGTCACTGTCAGGGGTGTCATCGTGCCTGTAAGCTGGGTTGTCAAACACGTTAGAGGCAAGGGAATGGCTGACAGGAAGCGAGCCGTTTTGAAGGATGGATCCATTTATGGATCCATTACCTTCAGCTGAAGTGGTCTTTTTGTGGGCTGCATCGTAGATGGTGGTGTCTCTGTTTAGCTTCTCAAACAGTCTGTTGGTTCTTTTGTATCTAAGGAATACAACATAAAATTATACAACTATACAGAGCTAATTGAAAATTCAGCTGTAGGGCAACCCATAAAAACAACCCTTAACAATTTTCTGTGATAATTTTATACTCCATATACACTTTTAGAAACTACTTCCCTTTTAGTAAAAAAAAAACTTTTCCTTTTAGTAAATCCTACCTTTCACATAGATCTTGTTTCAACACATAGCATTAGTTTTTTAGCTTGTAAACATTTTAATAGGTTTGTCTATTTCCCGGTTTAAATATCCACACTTACTTGGTTCGTTGTCTCTTCAACATAATACAGGAAGCGATGAGCACCAAGAAGAGAACTATGCTGATCACTAGCACAGCAATGAACGGTGCTGTCCATACACCTGCAGAATTGGCTTCTTCTTTGAAACTAGAGTAGATTTCTTTGGCATGAACTTTGAGCAGGCTAGGGGGATAAATGAGTAATATGACTTGAATGATTGAGCCAACATAATCTAAGCGTAGCTGATGTTCTTAACATTTTTGTGCTGTATGTTAGACCACAAAGTATTACATTTTAATTATAGGTAAAAGCAGGCCTACTCCTTATGAACTCACAGTCCGATCTGATGTCATGATCTGATTTCCATGACCAACTACTGACCTATCAATGACAGACTACTGACCTATCAATGACCAACTACTGACCTATCAATGACCAACTACTGACCTATCAATGACCAACTACTGACCTATCAATTTCATCAACTCTAAGCTTTTCACCATTTTTCCCTTTGGCTGATATCTGGACCCGTGACCTTGGAAACAGAAAATAATGAGATGATTAGAAAAAAGTGGAGTTGAAGGTGGGGGTTCGGGAAAGTGATGTTTGGACTTAGAGGCAAGGGGGGAAAATCTACAATAATTTTCTTAAAATTAGTCTCAGAGAGTATGGGGTGCAAATCATAATATCATATAGGAAAACAGCAAAGGACTCTCAAAATAGTAAATAGAAAATAAATTTATTCTCATCAGACTGAATTCTCTGGGTCAACTGAATGTGAAAGAAAATAGAATAAGGAATCAAGTAATGTGGTGTAAGATGCATTCAAGACAGTGTTAGAGGCATGCAAGACAGTGTTTGATGTTTAACATCTAGTCATTTATTTACCCCATGTCAGGAGCATCACTGAGGCTCTCGGTGTTGTGTATTTTAATATCGACACCCAATATTGACGACAGCTTGCTGTTAGAGGAATTTAAATCAAATAACAGCTTACAAATTAATGGAGTAAGTGCATAACTATAAAAAAGATAGGAAAATGTGTTTCAAGATAATAAGATAACACAATTTACTTGTATGCTGCAAAAATAGCAACACTGACAGGAAAGGACCATATCAGTAATAAAGTGAATAATTATGCTTATTAAATATCAGTATAACAATAGCTATTAAATGCCCCTACTTTGTAACACCTTTCAGATCTGAATTCAAAGAGCTTATCGCAACTGGTAGAATGACTACAGCTGTCTGGTTAGGAGATGGCCCAGATATCTGTTATAAAACAGAAGACTTAAGTTATTTCAAATTCTTTCACTCTTGAAAAAAAAAGGCAGAGAGTATGTACATTTATTAACAAATTCTGCAAATGTGACAGTCCAAAAATAGCATATTTATGTCTCTAATGATATAAAAATATCAATCAATGTTTTTTAGGAAGAATTGTCATAATATTGCCTTGGATTTTCACAAGTGAACTCATTAGATATCGCTCTAACATCGCTCTAATAGAAGGCCCAATCAGTAGTAGTAGAAACAGTAATATTTTGTCCACCCTATGCTCCATGTGTGTAAGATGTATTTTGTTTAGCCAGTCCAGTGGTTCCTAGAAAATTCAAGTCCCGGGGCCTTTTCCAAATTTAGATTTTCGCCAGGCTCACCGTGTTAAATTTTAACATGTACACTTCAAAATAGCAAATTCATTAAAAAGAAAAATAATAAAACAAAACACATATACATGTCACTAACTGTAATCTAGCAACTGCAAACAGTAATTACTCAAGTGAGTTACTGTATTCAACAGGCGCGCTGGATGTCAAATTAGATTAAAAGTGGAAAGTATTTTATGAAAATTGTGTAATATTTTGCAGTGAACCTGTGAGGAAGTTGTGGCAACCAATGGCAGGACCATGCCGAGGAAAATCGGGGGTGAAGCCTAAAACAGCGCAGCCAGGGGAGGATCAGTCAAAAAACTATTTTAGGCTCGCTTGTCTTTGCAAAATACATGGGATTTTACAGTTAAATTCACTATTTAGGTCCTGTTTAAAGACAATTTTGGCTCCCCCCGGCCCCACTGATTTTTGAGCCAGAGGAGAGAGCCCCCTTTGTCCCATTCATATGAGCTGCCCAGTGCAAAGCATTACCACTATTTTGGGAACCACTGGGCAGGCCAAGCTGACATCAGTGAAAACCCATAACTCAATTTACTGTGATTTCATAAAAATGTCAATAAATAAATAATGTTTTTTTTAGGGGGGGGGACTCATTTTACCTATGCATAAGGGGCGTCTTAAAAAGTACGCTTAGAATAGGGGAGGGCTGTCAAAAGTATGATTTTTTTGCTTACGTACTATATGGATGGCTACTTATTCAATTAACTCATAAAGCGGAGAGTAAATACACATCTTTGAATCCAAGCCAAATGGGTAACTTCACCAATAGTAATCAAACTAACAGAACATTTGTTTGAAAAATTACACTAGTGCTTGTTTCACCAGGCATAGGTAAGTGAGTTGACTCTTACCTTGACGACTGCCATGTCTTGTAAACTTGGAAGTCCCTTGTCATGCACTATGATGATCATCTCTGAGGCAGTGGGCCAAAATCTGACCAGCTGGACACTGCCTGAATCTGGGTTGATGCTAAACCAGGGACTGGATGGATGCGGATTGCACTTTTTTTTTTACAAATTTTTATTTTAGTATTCATATTGTAACTTGCTGTACACACATAATATTATGTACTGAATACACTGTAGTAGGGCCTTGAATCTCATAATTATATTGCCATATAATAACACTCACCTACCACCATGTATCGAATAGCTGAGAGCTGCGTTATTTTTCAGATCAGCATCACTTGCCTGAAAATATTTACTCATCTTATTAGAAATATAAGCCCATATGGTTACCATTTGGACTGAAAATTATTAGCACTGATATCAAGGAAGTAAATGGTAAATAGTAATAAAAACAGGTTACACCCAGTTTCAGTTGGTTATAGTCATAATATGAGAAAATATACATGGATTTTTTATAGAAAAAGTTCAATATTGTCCATTAATGAGTATAGCCAACATTGCAGAGTATAGCCAACATTGCACAGTGTAGCCAACATTGCACAGTGTAGCAAACATGCACAGTGTAGCCAACATTGCACAGTGTAGCCAACATTGCACAGTGTAGCCAACATTTAATTTATATTCTTATATTCAACATGAGCTTCCTAAAAAGGGACTCTAACCTAAACATTTGTTAGTTATAATGATTTGATCTTTATTATTATGTGGATGAGTTTGTGATCAATTAGTAATACTTTCATTTACACAGGAAAATTTGACCAACTAAGATTCAAAATAAAAACATCTTTGCATTAAATGGATTAAATTTGAATGAAGGCCGACTTAGAGCATATTAATTTTTATATCACTTTGTCCTACTTAAATTAGCCTGTAACCAAACCTTATTTTAATTTATAATCATGTATAACAATTCCATATTATGTACCTATACATATTATGTAACAAGTTTTGACCTACTTACATTTACTTGTAGGACAGTTTGACCTATCTGTGCATCATCCAGGATGTTCAAGTTATACGTGTGACTAGTCAACACTGGAGGATTGTCATTGACATCATCCACATGTATGTTGACTATCAGTGAGTCCACCTGAATGATGCATACAAGATGCATTTGGTCAATGCTCAGGAGAGTAGATTAGAAAATGTTGTAACTCTGTCAAGCTGTACTTAAGAATGCAGATTGTTACAATATTTATGTGTTTATTTGTAGAATTCTTTGTAGCTAGTCTTTTACGAGAATCTGTTTTTGTATCACTGTTGAAATTCTGGGTTAGATTAAGGGAAAGTGGCATATATTTTAATGGCTTTATGCCCTCTTCTTTATATAACTTACCACCACTATTTAAATTTACTAATGGGTCAGTCTACAGCGTATGTAACTTAGGGTTTAAAGTGGAAGGGTAGCCGTTAGAGATAAAATCAAATATTCGCCTGAGGGATACGGGGAATAACTGGGCACGTTTCTTTTAAAATAATCTTTTAATGATATGCGTAAAATTTCATCTAAACCAAGTCTTCCTTCATTTATTTTCTCATTCATATATTTTTATTTTTTTCAGTGTTTTTGTGCCCAACAAAGTGTTGTCATTTGATAGATTTTTACTATAATTTCCAGTTCCACGAGTTATTTGCATGTTTTTATCGTTATTAGTTATTGCGATATTTGTTATATGTAGAGATATGGATTTAGTTTTATATTTTTTATTAGAATTAATCCTATTGTTAATCAGTGACTAAAGCTCAGTGCACATGATCAAATTACTTTCAAATTTTCTTTCATACATTTGATGCGATTTTTGTATGAAGCCTTGTCACAAATTTCAAATTACTATTTGATTAAATTCTAATTTTTGACCAAAATAAAATAAACCAAATTTGAAACTAATTTAAAAAGAATTTGATCGTGTGAACTGATGCTTAATGTGTCTTATTTATCAGAAGTGTGTTGGAAATAACTCTACATTTGTTGCGTTCAATGTTGCTACATTTGCCCTCTGGTTAATTTTTACCTCTAAACAAACATGTTCCAAATGTAAATATTGAAAAGAAAATGAAGGTTCATAACGTGGTGATAAGGAAGTAGTGAGCTCATGCAAAGCTGCAGCCAGGACTGAGTTATTACTATATTTTTACTCACATATTCACGGTTCACAAACACCAGGCGGTAAGTGTCCTGTTTCTCCCTATCAATGACTGTGTTGGTCAAGATAGAGCTGAAATCATCAAATCAAACATTTCCGGTCTCATATCACTTCTTAATTACTTATAACTTATTCATAAACCTATTTAAACCAGTTCCCCTAGTAACCTGTATGTTCCGGTCATACAAATGAGTAAATACTATAGAAGGAAGCACAAGAGGTACGAACATACAGTATTTTTTCTTCTCCATTAGAAATAAATACATTAACTTAATGTTTATTAAAGAATCAGTATTAGAACTGTCTTGTGACTTTGTATGCCCAACCAAGAAGGTACTGAATTGATGGCATTAGATTCTTCAATTTGCACAATGTAATGAACCATAAGGCAAAGGCACAGTATGATTCATTTAAAATTTAAAGGACAGTTGTTTATCATAATTAGCTATACAGGCAATTAAGCACCAGGATTATCTGTAACAGTAAAGATGTGCTTACTCATGATCTGTTCTAAATTCTGTACTGTTTGTGATCAGTCCTGTGATCTGTTGAATGTTAAAATTTCTATAAGATAGAGATGGGAAGTCTAAAAATATATTTAAAATTGAATTATTTGATACTGAGGAAAAGCAGTACTTAATTTAAGATGTGCACTGCGGGAAATTTGACTATTAGGGCAATCTTTTGATATTGGTTTGGGGTGGTGGGGGGGGGGGCTGAGCACCAACGCTTTTATTGGTAATAAATATAAATGCCCCACATGAGAACACCATTATCTCTCTTATCTCTTTAAATGCCCTTAACTTAATTTAAGATGTGTACTGCGGGAAATTTGACTATTAGGGCAATTTTTTGATATTGGTTTGGGGGGGTGGGGGGGGGGGGGCTGAGCACCAACGCTTTTATTGGTAATAAATATAAATGCCCCACATGAGAACACCATTATCTCTCTTATCTCTTTAAATGCCCTTGAACAACTATTTTTGCGGTGATCTGAAAATGCTGAAACCCTGCTGGTTTCTTGAGGAGCCAATTAATTATAAAATTTAGCTGAATAAAAATATATCAGTAGATGTGACATAACATACTAGTAAATTTCACATGATTAGTAGAATATTTTCTTACTGAGTTCACCATTGCACACAACCAAGGTTATTCCATCAAATAAATACAATATTAAACATAGCTCCCATGAACTTCTCAAATGTCTGCCAAAAAGCTTTAAATTCCAGTATCCACACCCCCCCCCCCCATTAAGTTACACTAAAGCCAACTTTAACCCCCTTGGATACAGGATAATGGTTGCCTACAGGTAAAACAGTGACTAGGGTCCCCAAGGGGATGTTCTCAGGTATTGTCACATCATGAACTTCAACTGAGCCATTCCCACCAGTAGAGCCCTCAATGACCTTGACAGTGACTGAAACTGTAGCACAGCGCCTGCAATGTAAACATCAAACTTTTATATTTAATTACATTTACATTTTATCTTACATTTTACTATACATCAATATTATTTCATTTAATCTAATTATTCTTTAATTTTTTTTCTTAAAATGGGATTCTTACTGTAAAAGTGAATCCACCGGGTTATCACATGCGGTTGCCAGAAAGTAGCACGTAGAGATCACCGTCATGGGTTTAGACAAAGTTATTGCCCCTGACGTCTCATTAATGATAACTTTGCTGCAGTCTGTGATGGGTGGGATGAATTTCAGGCTGTATGTAATTCTGGCATTGTCTCCCTTGTCAAGATCATTTGCCTCAATCTGGATAATGAAGAAATTTCAGGGAACATATCATAGAGTACATAGATATGTCTATAGAATTATGAATTATTTTCTTACCTACATACATTAAACAAAACTATAATTCCACAATATATGATAACGAGCCCCCTGAAATCTCTGCGTTCTAGTAAATCAAAGTATAAAAAAACCTAACAAATAAACTTTCCGTGACATTATTAACATTGACCATTAACTGCTGACCACTCAACTCTAAAGAAATATTTGAAAAACACAGACACCTGCCCAGTGACACAAAGGAAATTGAATAACAATTTCACCAACAATCCAGGTACTCCTCTCGAACCTGTAAAAACTCACCTTTCCCACTGGCCAATTTTCAGGGCTGTGGCTGAATATGGTAAATTCATAAAGTGGATCTGGAAATATTGGCATGTGGTCATTGTAGTCCTGTATGTGAACAGTTATATCTGTTGAACAGGCAGATGTGTCGGCACACGGACTGCCAACGGCTTTCTCCTTCTCCCGTAGATGCACCTGATAAATTCAAGTGCAGCAAAAAGATTAATGGATGAGAAGAAAAAACATTAGCATCTATATTTGAATTGAGGTGAGATGACTTTTAAAAACAAAAAATTCACTGCACAGTAGTAAGGATCTTGAAGCCAATTAGTGTTGGTGCCGAATGCAAGAAATAACAGGGATGTAATGATGTAATGTGTCAGCCATAATAATAATAATAATAATAATAATAAGAGGTCTTATATGCGCAGTACCCCAGCCTAGGGCTGGGCTCACCACGCTGTACATAAAAATTTTATCAAAAGAGACATAATCATGACATTAAAATAAAATACATATATGAAATAAAGAACAGCAATGTATATTCACCCACCCCAACACAAAACTTTTACAAGGCAAACCATGGACGGCAGCCAGCAAGATCGTTTATCAGTCAGTCAGAGGAGGGGAATCACTCAGGGTAGTATAATTTAAAAAGATCTGTTTTGAGTGCAGTTTTGAAGGCCTGGGTGGTTGGTATATTGCGTATGTGTTGTGGCAAAGAATTCCATTGTTTGGGGGCGCAGAAAGAGAAAGATCGTTCACCATATGTTTTAGTGTGTGTCTTGGGAATGGACAGAATATGCGTGTCTGCAGAGGAGCATGTTTCAGTTGGTATCATGTGTCAGTCATGTGACATAAGAGTCATAGTTTCAAGCAAACAGGAGAAATGAAATTTAAGAAAAAAAAAATTTTTTGTTTAAAAAGATTTAAGAAAACCAGAGCGCAGTGAGCATGCTAAAGTAGCATGGATACCGGCGCCCTATAAATATCCAATCCAATCCAACATCATGACAAAAAACTTACCTTGACATGAACTTCCACCTTGCCACGCAATGCTGATGCATTAACCACCGTTAGCCAAAATTGTGAAGTTACGTTGTCATATTTCAGACCAAATGCTTGAAGATCATCCGATGTGATGTTGTAATCGAACTTGGCATTTTCCCCCTGTTTTAATAATACATACCTTAACTGTGACAGAGTGTTGCGTTATGTATAATTTAGCTGGTAAAATTCGTACCAAAGAAAACTTTTGGTATAACTTTTTTAAATTTTATTCAGTGGCCTCTCTTCAAAATGGCATCTGCACTCAAGAAAAACTTAACATGAAATAGCTAGACAGGCATATTTCAAAATACAAAAAAATGCATGTGAAACAATTTCTTATAAACTTGTCAATATAGATATGATAGATAATATCAAAACATGAACAAACTTGTTTTAATTATACGTAGGCCTGTAACTTACTAATATAAATTCTGCAACAGCCACCATCTAAATGATCACTAATTAAGCCACTACATGAGTTCATTGATGGCTGATTTCTACGCCACAGAAATACTTTAGATGTTTTGTGTTTAAATTGTTATGATTGTAAAATGTTCTCTTTGTTAAAATATGTATTTTTTTATGTGCTGAAATTGAATATGTAAAATGTAATAAAAAAACATTTCCATTTATTTGGATCAATAAAACAATCTTATGTTATCTGATCTTATCTTGTCTTTAAAACAAAACAATATCTTTTAATAAAAAATCAGTGTAATATGTCTCATGATTCACAGCCCATTTTACTAAGGTGACGCAAAAATCCAGTGTAAGGTTTTATTACCTGGTCTTCATCCTTAGCATTCATCAAGACCAGGTAAGTGTTTACTTGTGTCATCTCTGATATTGTTATGTCTGTGACCTGGTTGGTAAACTTGGGCCAGTTGTCATTGATGTCCTCCACTTCAATAATCAGAATGGCTGACGTTCTCATCTGATCATTGTCCACTTGGGTAGCCTTGAACAGTTAAAAAAAATATTTAAAAAAATAAATAAATAGTTTTATTTGAAAAATTAGTTTCATAAGGTACACTAATAATCAATAGGCCTATATTATTTCTTTTTTTTTTAATTAAGAAATGGTCACAGCGTGTCAATGTCAGGTGATGACACATGCTGGATACTGCCCCACTTTTGTCTTGGTAACCTCAAGTTCTGGGACATATATTTATAAATAACTCCAATCTCTGCGCAGTCACGTTTCCCGGTGTGATCCCGATGGGATCGCGTAACTGATGGGTTCCAGTTTACTGTTGGATCTCGTTCCCCTTACCTGGCCTCTATGGGATCATTCTCAGTGCGATTTTGTTCGAATATGCTTTTAGATCCCATTATATATCCCCGTAGAATATAGAAGCTTCTAGAACATTCTAAATTAAATTTGATATCCTCCATGAAACGTGTAAAAAGTTACTTTTCTACGTAATTATTTCTCAAATGAGAAATATTATACTACTATAACTATAGTACATTTACATTGAAATAGGGGCCCCGGTGGGGGCTTATTGAATAAGGTAACTTTTTAGTTATGTCTCAGATGGGGGTGGCGGGGAAGCCTATAAAGAAGAATTAAAATTTAAAATTTGTCCCATTAAAATCGGTTTAAAAATGCCATAGATATTGCTTTCTTAAACCATCAAACTTTCTAGAGGACTCTAGATCTCCCCTGAACTGAATGGATTGCATATTATTAGTTTTAAATCCACAGCTATTTCAATGCGGACTTAGAAGGGTATTGCTAGATCCACCAATTCACATAAAACCTATAGTGTTGTCTAAGCCTATTATAATTTATATAGCTTAAATAAGGAAAATGAAATTGGGCCTCTGGCCCAGAGGAATGGATATTATAAGTTCAGTACCCTTTGGTATTTGAATGTGGATAGTAAAGTGTATTTGTTCTAACTTTGGTCAAGATCCATCCATTCATGTAGGAGTATTTTTTAGTAATTTTATTTACATAGCTCATTTTGGAAAAAACAACATTTTGGGCCCCCGGCCTCAAACGGAATGTTATAAAAAGTTTATAACCCCTTAAGAGTTTCTTTCAAATAATGACGGATATATGTGCCAAGTTTGGTCAAGATCGATCATTCCATGTAAAAGCCTTTGTGGAACATACAGACAGACCCACAAACTTTCTCTTTTATATATAGGTGTGATAAACTTTATTGTGACAAAAATTTGCCTACCGTTATAGTGACTGAGTATTCACTTTTAACTTCATGGTCCAGTTGTGTGAGAATTTTCACTTTAGCTGTGACATTATCAATGGTTATATTCAGGTCACTGGGCATGGATTCTGTTGAACATATAATATAATAATAGTGTAGTGCCAGGACACAGAGTCCTATTATTGTGATATTATCCTTCATGATGGGACTCACAACAATGGACACCAACATGGGCATGGGCCCAGAATTTTGAAACTTTCTCACTAGTCACATTATGATGCTGTAGTCAGTTGTACACTCAGTGAAGTCAGCACTTTCAATTTCGTAAATATCATCAGCGTTTTAGCTCCGTCTGTGTTGCAGTACCGTTGCAGCACTATTAGAATTGTACCGGCACTGTTGAGGTGCTGGCAGTGTTAAAATGTGCCACTGAAGGATGCTGAGACAAAAATTAAACTTATCAGTGGGTACTTACCGATACTGTAAATGATGGTTGTATTAAGTCCCAGATCTCCATCGTAAGCATGTACTGCAGGTGTTGCCTCAAAGCTTTGGTTTGATAAATCAGTCTGTAACATGACCAATATTCACAAAGTAAATCGTGTTTTATAACCCAAAAATATGAGAACTAAACATCACCAAAATAAAGTAATTATTTTACTGTGTAAGAAGTGATGCATGTCTGTTGTGATGCCAACAGTAATTATTTTATCGTGTAAGAAGTGACGCATGTCTGTTGTGTGACGCCAACAGTAGTTATTTTACTGTGTAAGGAGTGACGCATGTCTGTTATGTGACGCCAACAGTAGTTATTTTACGGTGTAAGAAGTGACGCATGTCTGTTGTGTGACGCCAACAGTAGTTATTTTACTGTGTAAGAAGTGAAGCATGTCTGTTGTGATGCCAACAGTAGTTATTTTACTTGTAAGAAGTGACGTTTGTATGTTATGTGACGCCAACAGTAGTTATTTTACTGTGTAAGAAGAGATACATGTCTGTTATGTGACGCCAACAGTAATTATTTTACTGTGTAAGAAGTGACGCATGTCTGTTGTGTGACTTGATGATATTTTGGTGTCTGCCTTGTGTCTTGTTTGTGTGCTTGTAGTGACCTGTAATGTTTTTTTTCTAAGTGAGCTGTGCTCAGGCTTTTAAATGCAGATTCTTGCACATGATTTATGTTGTTTTTTTACACTATGTGACATAAGCAGAAAAAGGGACATCCATCATTCTATTGCTAAAATTATCAACATCATATGACAACTTCCTGCAAATGAAATGCCTATCTCGCACTCGTCCGTCCACTACTGGAATATCGTGCGATCATCTGGGACCCACACCTTAAGCAAGACGTGGACAAGATGGAGCGAATTCAACGTAATGCGGTGCGTTTTATCGCTCGAGACTACAAATCCACTGCTCCTGGATTCGTCACTGGCCTCTTAAAAAGATTTGACATCCCCTCCCTTAAAGACAGACGAGAGGGACTCCGCCTGATAAGTGATATTCTTATATAAAGTGATCATGGGACTGGTGCTGGCCATCCCAGCAGGCACGTACCTCACCCCACAGAAGCCGGGTAGACTAATCAGATCAAAACCCTCACTCAACACTGACTTCAGTACTGACATTTCCATAAACAATTACACCCGAAACAATAGCAAATGCTTCAAAGTGCCTAAGTGCAACACAGTGCAGCATCAACAATCTTTCTTCCCACGCACAATAATAGCATGGAACCACCTGGGCGATGCCACTGTGAACTCGACATCGGTCGAAAGTTTCAAGGATGCCCTAGCATCAGCTAGGAGCTGTTAAAATAGCAAAATCATACCCCCAACCGTTGCAAAGATGCCAGTACATGGATGCAGCAATGAAACACTACCAGAACCAGAAAGAACCAGGATGTGAATGTGGCCTACAGTTGTGTTCAAAACATCTCAAAAAAGCATAAACGAGTATGGCCTTACCCCCTCTGGCACCTTGAGAATGAAAACACCAACATCAAATACTGGTTTCTCATCATCTACATCATCTATAAGGATGGTAATTTGCGTGGTGGTTGTCCGATACACTTGACTGTCTATCTAAGCAACAAAAAAGAAATTTTTAACTTTTAAAACGTGAGTTATTAAGATAAGATTACATATTTATTTTATTTATTTAGGCATTTTTATATAGCGCTTACCATAAAGCTCTAAGCGCTTTACAATTATTAAAACATGTAAACTAAGTAAATAAAAATGAGACACTAGGATAGTAACTACTATACTATAGAAACAATGAAAATGGCTATAAAACGAGGACACTTTGACACTTCAGGATCAACCCGAAACAGAAAATGAGGTAGGGCAAGGAGGGTGCATCAGAGGTCATAGGCGGACCTAAACAGATGAGTTTTAAGGGACTTTTTGAAAATGGACGAGGTTTCACAATGACGGATATGGAAGGGGAGCTGGTTCCAGAACGTGGGCCCATGGAAGCAGAAGGAGCGTTCACCGATGGTCTTAGTTTTGGTTCTTGGGATTGAGAGGGTTCTACTGTCAATGGAAGAACGTAGTTGTCTTGTATATAAGAATTGTATTAGATATAAGAATTGGGTCACTGACAAGGTCAAAGATATGCATCAGAATAACATGTGACAGATCAGAATAACACATAACAGATCACAAAGCAAGTAACAGATCAGAATAACAGTTGACAGATGTTTTCATTATTTATATTATGCGAATGTTTTCATTACTGATATTATGTGAATGTTTTGATTATTTATATTAAGTGAATGTTTTGATTATTTATATTAAGTGAATGTTTTGATTATTATATTAAGTGAAAATTTTGATTATTTATATTAAGTGAATGCTTTGATTATTTATATTAAGTTAATGTTTCAAAATCTTTTATTTAAATTGTAAAAAGTATATAAATGTCCTTGACCCTAGAAGCAGAAATTATTGATAAGCAGTTAGAAACAAGACTCAATAATGGACAATATTAAAGTGGTCTACCTTCTGTGTTGTCAGGGTGACCACACAATCCATATCTGCTGACATGTGCCAGGACAAGACCCTGGCAATGTCATCTTGATGGACCAGCGCCAGGTGGCCAATCTGACAAAAAAAGATGTATAGCAAATGACAGAATGTAAACAAAAGATGTATATCAAATGACAGAATGTAAACAAAAGATGTATAGCAAATGACAGAATGTAAACAAAAGATGTATAGCAAATGACAGAATGTAAACAAAAGATGTGTAGCAAATGGCAGAATGTAAACAAAAGATGTATAGCAAATGACAGAATGTAAACAAAAGATGTATAGCAAATGACAGAATGTAAACAAAAGATTGATAGCAAATGACAGAATGTAAACAAAAGATTGATAGCAAATGACAGAATCTAAACACAATATATACTTAGAAAACTCTTGTATAGATAATCTCTTCATATAAATACTTTTTTCATATGATGTATTCATATAAATAATCTCTTCATATAGATAATCTGTTCATACAAATTATCTCTTTATACAGATAGTCTATCATAATTTTGTTCATTACTTTGACATCAGTAATTTAAAAAAAAAAAAGAGTATTAATATGCCTGATGATGATACTATTTCCATTGTACCGGTACAACTCTCTGGTACAACTCTCTTTTTCTTCTTCTTATATTTGAGGGGCCAAAGATCAATTTGTTGATCATTCTGGCTCCTGGTTTAAATTCAGAGTTTCTCTTAGATGGGTTGCCGTCCAAGCTAACGACAAGCTTATTGATCAGCTAAGAAACGGTTGATTGAACCAAAGGTCAACACCTCCACATTTCACTGTCTTACTTTTCCCAGGATGTCTGCGTCACTGTCGGCCGGCAGAAGGGCACACGTCCTGCGGGGAGCTTTCAACACTTGTTCTCTCTCCTTGACCCGGGCCACGATCAACTTGTCCACAGTGTCCACCTGGGGAATGCCAGAGTAAACTGTTACATTAGTCAGGTGACACAGTCAAGAGGGTACTGTCATACTATGGGGAGTTTGATGGTCATACTATGGAGAGTTTGATGGTCATACTATGGAGAGTTTGATGGTCATACTAGGGGGGAGTTTGATGGTCATACCAGGGGGAGTTTGATGGTCACACTAGGGGAGATTGATGGTCATACTAATGGGAGTTTGATGGTCATACTAGGGGGAGTTTGATGGTGATACTAGGGGAGATTGATGGTCATACTAATGGGAGTTTGATGGTCATACTAGGGGGAGTTTGATGGTCATACTAGGGGAGATTGATGGTCATACTAATGGGAGTTTGATGGTCATACTAGGGGGAGTTTGATGGTCATACTAGGGGGAGTTGGATGGTCATACTAGGGGAGATTGATGGTCATAATAATGGGAGTTTGATGGTCATACTAGGGGGAGTTTGATGGTCATACTAGGGGAGATTGATGGTCATACTAGGGGAGATTGATGGTCATACTAGGGGAGATTGATGTTCATACTAGGGGAGATTGATGGTCATACTAGAGGAGATTGATGGTCATACTATGGGAGATTGATGGTCATACTAGGGGAGATTGATGGCCATATTAGGGGAGATTGATGGTCATACTAGGGGAGATTGATGGTCATACTAGGGGAGATTGATTATCATACTAGGGGGAGTTTGATGGTCATACTAGGGGAGATTGATGGTCATACTAGGGGGAGTTTGATGGTCATACTAGGGGAGATTGATGGTCATACTAGGGGAGATTGATGGTCATACTAGGGGAGATTGATGGTCATACTAGGGGAGATTGATGGTCATACTAGGGGAGATTAATGGGCATACTTGGAGAAGATTGATGGTCACCGGGAGTGGGGGGGGGGGTGTTGATGGTTTGTTTTTTCCATGGTTTGAATTAAAACTGTTCCCTATAAAATTAAGTGAAGATAGAGTTACCCTATAAAATTTTAAGTCAAGATATGTTTTCTCATTAAAATTAAATGAAAATATATTCTTCCCCAAAAAAAACATTTGCATATTTGTTTTCCACCCATTTAATCACTTTTCAATTCTTATCTGATTATAATTGACCAATTATATTATTAGGTTAAGAATTATTTTGTTAAAACACAGATGGCATCTTTTGCAATTTGGAGTTGTGTATGACTAATATCATAGTGACTCTATCTACTCACGGACTGCAGTTGATTGCTGGGTATATTCTGTTTCCTGAGTTCTGCCCTCAGAGTCTGTTCTTCTTTCTGTGCTTCATGTACAACACCTGGCAATGGTCAAGAAATAATGTTAATGGTCTCAGGTGGTCACAAAATATTTTGATGGTCTCTTAATGGTGGTCACAAAATATTTGGATGCCTCTTACTTGTGGTCACAAAATATTTGGATGGTCTCTTACTGATAGTCACAAAATATTTGAATAGTCTCTTACTGGTGGTCACAAAATATTTGAATGGTCACTGGTGGTCACAAAATATTTGGATGGTCTCTTACTGGTGGTCACAAAATATTTGGATGGTCTCTACTGGTGGTCACAAAATATTTGAATGGTCTCGACTGGTGGTCACAAAATATTTGTATGGTCTCTACTGGTGGTCACAAAATATTTGAATGGTCTCCTACTGGTGATCACAAAATATTTGGATGGTCTCTTACTGGTGGTCACAAAATATTTGAATGGTCACTGGTGGTCACAAAATATTTGGATGGTCTCTTACTGGTGGTCACAAAATATTTGGATGGTCTCTACTGGTGGTCACAAAATATTTGAATGGTCTCTACTGGTGGTCACAAAATATTTGTATGGTCTCTACTGGTGGTCACAAAATATTTGAATGGTCTCCTACTGGTGATCACAAAATATTTGGATGGTCTCTTACTGATGGTCACAAAATATTTGAATGGTCTCTTACTGGTGGTCACAAAATATTTGAATGGTCTCTTAGTGGTGGTCACAAAATATTTGGATAGTCTCTTAATGGTGGTCACAAAATATTTGAATGGTCTCTTACTGGTGGTCACAAAATATTTGGATGGTCTCTTACTGGTGGTCACAAAATATTTGAATGGTCTCTTACTGGTCGTCACAAAATATTTAAATAGTCTGACAATAGTGGTCACAAAATATTTGGATGGTCTCAAAGTGCAGGAAAATAAAGGGTTTTCAAAAAAAAAGGTGTAGGGCAGTGTTTCCCAACCTGTTTTGTGCCATGCCCCGACCTAAGCCTTTCGGAAACTCTTATGCCCCCCCCCCGACCTAAGCCTTTCGGAAAC